TAATTATACAACCATTCCCAACTTTTCTAAAATTATCGAATTGATCCCCAACTTTTCAAAAATTACAAAATGGTCCCTAAATTTTTATAAGGCATGTAGAATACTTCCTACATCATTTCCAGACCTTGTATAATTTTTTCATAATTTTTCTCACTCAAATACATCATGATCGAATATTTTATCCTTTAAAACCGCGTTTTCATGATTTTGCTCGATTTTGATTTGATTTAAGCATGAAATCAACTTTCAATCAAACTTTTAACATCTCCACAATCAAATCCCTAATCAACTCTCATCATAACACAAAGTTCTCCAACTTATACTTTGGCCAAATTTTAAAGAATAATTTCTAGAAAGATTGAACATGTTTCAACCATAAATCAAGCTTGAAAATGAATCTACAAGTCTAAATCATTAAGATTTATCATCAATTTCATGAATCCTATCATGAACATAAACCCTTAGATTTGAGATCTTTGAAATCCATCAAGATTAGAAAGAAATATTGGTACCAAATGATAGCGTTTTTCGCGTAGATCACTTTTCTATTTCATGGCATAACTCGAATTCCAAAGAAATTGGCTCAAAAATTGAAAACAAAAAATGTTTTCTTACCTTGGAAGAACTCACGTGAAGCTGCTGGAAAACATGAAGGAATTCATCTTACAATTATTCATCTTTATTAATAATGAATTAAAAATTCATTAAATGTCAAATTACCACTTTACCCTTAAAATCAAAATATCCATACTAATTTACCCTTAATGAACTTGATATTTACATTACTACCAAGTTACAAAAACCTTATCATCTTCCAATAGTCAAAGATAGATAAAATATTTTTCCACTTTACCATTTTACCCTTGCAATTTCCAAAAATTACAATTCAGTCACCTTAATCCAACGGTTCAAATTAAACATGGAATTAAACCATTAAATATTATTTTCTAACATTTTAAAAATGTGAAAATAATATTTTTATTTTCTTATTTTCGTGGGCAATTTGTAACTTTTTTTAAAATTACATTTTGGTCCCTGAACGTTTCAAAGTTTATACTTTGGTCACTAAACTTTCCAAATCTTATAATTTGATCACTAAACTAAATCCATTTATGGAATAAAATTATTTTTGGGAAAATACCATTTATGTCTGTAAACTTTTCCCAATTTTTCACTTTGACCATCAAACTTTCAAAATTTGCATTTTGGTCATAAGCCCACTTTTTGGGATGTTACAATAACCTCATTAGAATTTATTGTGTGCAACTTTCTTTTAGGCTAGAATCATATAACCTTTTTCCACTGTGAAACTTTAAGAAATATTTTATTAGCGACTAGATATTCAATTTCTTTTCTTTTCAAATCTGAGTACGATTTCTGGGGGTCAGCAACTATATTGTGATTGTCTTGTATGATCTTTACTTTATTTTCCACTTCATTGATTAGATCAAAACCAGTTATGTCTCGACTTTTCAACTCATATCAGTTCAATGATGTTCGATATTTTCTTCTATATAATGCTTTTAAAACCATCTTGATACTTAACTGATAACTATTATTATAAAGTGAAATTTGCTAAAGACATATACTTTTTCCATAATCATTTGAAATCGATAACATATGCCCATAGCATATCTTTAAGTATTTGGATCATTCCCTCATACTATTCATCAATTTACAGATGAAAAGATGTACTGAAATTTAATCAAGTTCTTAAGCTGTACTGAAATTTACCCTCTAAATTTTCAAAAATTCAATTTAATCCCTAAATTCCAACTATTTCCCTATAACAGAGCAAATCCTTTTAACTTAAGTAATCCACTTCGATTTCTTCACATTATAAATACCCACACAATATTTCTAACCTCATACTACCATTCTTTAAATTTTTTATAAATTTTCGATTCTATCCAGATATTCGATTATTTATTACTAATAAATAGTTTTTTCTGCAAATCCCAGATAAAAAAATTGATAGGAACGAAAATCCTCCTTTTAAGGTGAACTATCCATTTACAGGACCAAAAAAATATAACTTTTCAAAATTAAACTTTAGGTCCATAAGCTTATCTAAATTTATACTTTGACTATTAAACTTTTAAAACTTATATTTTGGTCACTGTCCAAAAATTTGGGGTATTACATGTCTTGCACTTGCCACATGCACACAAAAAGAATTCCCTGGTATTCTACCATGCAAAGCAGCCCCACTCAAGAAATCCCGAAAATCAATCTAAGCGTCAATGATGACCCAATCAAAAGTCCCACAGGCCTCAACTTCAATTGCATTGCAATCTCGATCCCTCAGTCCCACCAACACTCAAGTGGAGTACACCTACTGTAACAAATCGTAAAAGCTTGAGCACTAAGCTTCAAGTCTCGACTCTGCATTCTACACTCTCCAATCAAAACTAACACATTCTGTTGAGTTAATCGATCGATGGAATCGACCAAGAGGGGGTAAATTGGCAATAAAAATTTCGGTGGAAGCTTTTGCAGAAAATTGAAAATATTTGCACAACGATTTAGAGTGGTTCGACTTTCTCAACCAAAGTCTACGTCCACTACCTTAGCTATCCACACTAAGGATTTTCCACAAATTCACTAATTTGTCTTTCTTTTGAGGAAAAGGAGTAACTTTACAAATCCCTCAAGAATTATACCCCAAATTCTTGAGAACACTCTCTCCCAATGAGAACAATACAAATTTTGAAAACTTACAAGAAAATTCTCACAAGGCAAGATGTTTCCACAATTCTAGAATAAAGAAATAACACTCAAGAATAATACAATTGAGCACGATAAGTGTTCTTGAAAGCAAAAAATGAATATTGAATGAAATAGGCTTGAAAATGTTCAAACTTGAGGTTTGATGCTTTCTTTTTTATTATCTTTTGATTCTTGATAATTGTTTTTGATCAATGGCTCCTAAGCTTGCTTAAATACACCTTGGATCACTTCTGAATGTTGGGGATCATTAGTGGAGTCAATAGAGCCGTTATTGTGTGAAAATAATTAATAAAACATTTGGGAGCGTGTGTGCATCCATGCATAGGCTTTATGCATCGGTACACTATGTGTAAAATTCAAATATTTCGACCGTTGGAAGACTTAGTGCATCGGTACACAAATCTGTTTCGATGTGTCAAAATAGCCGGGGTGCATCAATGCACGTCTTATGCATCGGTGCAATAAATGCATTCGAACTTCAATTTAATTAAGAGTGCATCGATGCATGAACTAATGAATCGATTCATCCTTTTGAAAATTGAACTTTTGGCTCGTTTTTTGTTCGAAATACTTTGTGAAAATTGTTTCAAAAATATTTTAAGATTAAAACACAATTTTACACTTTAGTAAGGATTAAATTTGGACTTTGAAAAACTTGGAGTAATATTTTGATATTCGGATAATTGTATCCAATATACTTAGAAAATCATTTGTAAAATCTTAAAACTCATTTATCTTAATTTGTTATATCGAAACATCAAAATATTTTCAACAATCTCCCCCTTTTTGATATTAACAAAACATTTGAGTAATTTTAAGATTTTCTATGAAAATAATTTTTGAAAATAATTTTAAAATTACTCCCCCTTACTATAATATATCTTCTCCCCCTTTTTGTTAAATCAAAAAGACTCTAAAACGGTTTTAAACAAGGTATTTGAAAAACATAGCCATTTGATACTTAGAATTTTAAAGTTCAAGCTGCTAAGATCAAATATCAAGAGAAAGGTTAACCATTAGTTTCATAATTCAATATTCATAATGTGAAATGGCAAAATTGGTCATAATGCAACTAATATGTAAATGATGCAAAAATAATAAACATTAAGCTCAAATTAAAAATTCAAGCCAAACCAAATATATAATAAGTTCAAACATCCAATCATCCAAAAACATAAATCCAAAAGCATCAAAAAATTTTAATAATTCAAGGCAAGGCAATCCAAAATATTAATCCAAAGTTTAATTCAGGCAAACTAAAGCAAGATAAGTCTAGTCGTCCATAGGAGGATCGGGAGGAGGAGGATAATGTGCTCACACTTCAAGTGTGAGAGAATCCATACGTTCACGCATCTCTCGTTGAAACTCAGTCAGTTGAGACTCCATGGAAGCAAACCTTAGATCAAATGACTCCATAAATGTTTAAAAATATGGAGGCATTTGTTCCTCTTGTTGTGCAGGTGCTTGCTCATCGTCTGGTACGTGATCGTCTATATGTTGAAAAAGTTCTTGAAGTTCGGGATCATCGTCTGTTGCTGGAGTCGGAGGAGGTGGAGCTCGTGAAGAGCTAGCTCCCGGAGTTTGCTCAGTGGGTCTATATTCCCATCGACCCGTTTTCTTATCCTTTTTCCATCCCGACTTCTTTAAGGAATTTAGATTAATTTGGTTTTGGAGAGGTATGAGAATGTCAACCAAGACCTTAAGCCCTAGTTTGATAAAAAGATTAGAAAGAAGACAACCGTAAACTAAAGTTTCTATATTTTTGGAAGGGAGAACGTTTACGTTATCAACAAGCTCACCAAAAATAATATGTGGCAAATTAATTTTCTTATTATGTTGGATACAATGTATCCACCATAAATCGATGACTCTAAGAGTGGAGTACCTACCTCCAGATGGTCTAAACCACCAAGAGATCATTAAATGAAGAAATCGATCATGATGTGTTTGTAAAGTACTAACACTATCCTTAGACTTATATGGTGTGACCACAAGTTCTCTTTCATTATCTATACCGACATTGTCTAAACCAAAAGCATTAGCGATAGTTTTTGAATTAATGAAAATGACTTCTCCTAAGAGATAAGATCGTATGCCTATGGTTTCGGTTTGACGAGCATTTTGAACACATACTGCATTGGAGTAGTAAATGCAAACTAATTGTTGATAGACAATGGACTTAATTTGACACAATTTATAAAATTTCCAGGAACGAAGGACAGAAAGATATTTGAAGTTAATATTCTCCATCGCTTGAATTGAAGGAATACTTCCTCTCGGATTTTGTAGGATTGAAAATAACTAACGAACCTATCATATAATTCATCTCTACGACGACCGGGTTGCTTGAAGCAAGAATTAAGAATTGTTAATTCGGGTTCGTTTGAGTTTGGATTTTGTGGTGGAGGAGGAATAAGAGGGCGGTTTTGACTTAAGCGACTAGACGATGTCCTAGGTCATTTAGGATTAGATATTGTTCAAGAATAGGAATGGGATAGGTAACTTGCAAATTTAAAACACATATATACAATAAAATCAATCCCAAAACTCAATTGAGTCCGCAATAGTCAAGGTTCTTTAAACCGAATCCTAATGGGTAAAGTTTGGAAAACTATTTTGAAAATAATGTTTAAAGATTATAATACGTATAGTTTTCATGAAAACAACATAATTTAATCAAAAACATTAACATTTAATTAATGAATTTCGATTTTTTTAAATTTCGAAAATTCAAACATTATTTGAAAAATCAAGAATTTTTTACAAAATTAGTTGTAAAATCTAGTTTATAATCACTAAACAATCAATGCCCGATGATTTGTTTATCCTAGAACTAATCAAAACTAGTTCTAAGTTCAAAATTCAGTAAAACAGAGGTTTTAGAAAATATTACCTTGAATCTTTGGATTGAATGAGAATGTAGTGATGTTTTGCACGATTTAATGATGCAAACAGGTTTTGGAGATGAAAAATGATCGAAATCCGTCTAGAATACGTTGATTTGAGGCAAATTGAGAGTTTAGAGAGAGATAGGGACAGACGGCGGGCTGAGTAGTTTTAAGGGTTTTGAGAAAATAAAGAGAAAATAGGGATTTAATACCAAAAACCCGATTAGTGTATTGATGCACAGCAGAGTGCATCGATGCACATTCAAGGAGTGCATCAGTGCACCTTTAAGGTGTATCGATGCATATTCAAAGGATGCATCGATGCATTATGCACAAAAATGTCAAAAATCATTTTTAAACACTCAAAATACTAAATTATTTAGCTCTAGTTGTATTGGCAACCTATATATTGAAAATTAATCATGTTCAATCAATCAAATTTATCTTTAAACATAATTTGAACATTTAATTAATTTTCACTAAGAATCATAAACTCCCCGCAAATAATAACAAATAATGCAATAAAAAATATTATTTTTATAAGCATTTTACAAAAACTAATTAAAAAATGCTAAAATTATTTTAAACACTAAGTCAAGGTAGGTTGGTAAAACCTAGTTTTCTCATAAGTGTCCAAAATCTTTCTTTATCTAAAGGTTTTGTGAAAATATCCGCTAATTGGTGCAAAGTATCAACATATTCTAGAACTATATCTTCTTTAGCGACATGATCTCTAATGAAATGATGTCTGATTTCAATATGCTTAGTTCTAGAGTGTTGGATGGGATTTTTAGTGAGACAAATAACACTAGTATTGTCACACTTGATAGGTATGGTACCTACTTCAATTCCATAATCAAAAAGTTGTTGTTTCATCCATAAAACTTGTACACAACAACTACCTGCTGAAATGTATTCTTCTTCAGTGGTAGATAATGCAACACAATTTTGTTTCTTTGAAAACCAAGAAATCAACATATTTCATAGGAATTGGAAAGTATCGGATGTGCTTTTCCTATCTATTTTGCATCCTCCATAATCTGCATCTGAGAAGGCATGCAAGCTAAAGCTAGAGTCTCTAGGATACCAAAGTCCTAAACTATGAGTGTCCTTAAGATATCTAAAGATCCTCTTAACAGCTAGTAAATGTGATTCCTTAGGACATGATTGAAATCTAGCACATAAGCAAACACTAAACATGATGTCCGACCTACTTGCGGTTAGATAGAGCAAAGAGCCAGTCATTGACCTATATAATTTAACATCCACATATTTACCTCCTTCATCTTTGTCAAGCTTTGTAGAAGAACTCATTGGAGTGGCATGAGGTTTCCCATTTTCTAGTCCAAACTTTTTGAGCATATCCTTGACGTATTTAGCTTGATTGATGAAGATGCCATCTTTTCTTTGCTTGATTTGGAGTCCCAAGAAAAATGAGAGCTCCCCCATCATGCTCATATCGAATTCACTCTGCTTTAGCTTAGAAAATTCTTGGCAAAGAACATCATTAGTAGAACCAAATATTATATCATCAACATAAATTTGAAATACTAATAAATCTTTACCTTTATGCTTTAAAAACAATGTAGTGCCAACTTTCCCTTTTGAAAAACCTTTTTCAATTAAAAAATTTGACAATCTTTCATACAAAGCTCTAGGAGCTTGTTTTAAACCATAAAGCGCTTTTGTCAATTTAAAAACATGATCTGGAAATTTTGAATATTCAAAACCAGGAGGTTGTTCCACATACACTTCTTATTTTATAAAACCATTTAAAAATGCACTTTTAACATCCATTTGATACAATTTAAATTAATTGAAACATGCAAATGCTAATAACATTCTAATTGTTTCCATCCTAGCTACGAGAGCATATGTTTCATCATAATCTATGCCTTCTTCTTGAGTATACCCTTAAGCAACAAGTCTAGCATTGTTTCTCACTATATTACCACTTTCATCAAGCTTATTCCTAAATTCCCATCTAGTACCTACAGTAGATTTATTACTAGGCCTTTCAACTAATTTCCATACTCTACTCCTCTTAAATTGATTTAACTCTTCTTGCATAGTCATAATCCAATGTTCATCATTTAATGGTTCTTTAATATTCTTAGGATCTATGCATGAAATAAATGCAACATAATTACATATATTTCTAAGAGAAGATCGAGTTGTTACCCCTTTGGATGGATCACCTATTATTTCACCATCATTGACATAGTTGTATTCCCTTGGGTAAGAGACTTCCCTTTCTTTAATGGTTGGATTCTTGAGAGGATCTTGAGTTTCCTCATTTTTTGTTTCTTCCTTTGATGATGGTACTTCAACGTCATGTCTAATGTCATTTGTGTTTATAATACCTACATCATCATTCACATAAGAATCCTTCATCGGAAGGGGATTATCATCGAAAACGACATGTATAGACTCTTCTACAACTAAAGTTCTTTTATTAAATACTCGATAAGCTTTAGAATTTAAGGAATAACCCAGAAAAATTCCTTCATCACTTTTAGCATCAAATTTGCCAAGATTTTCTTTACCGTTGTTTAAAACAAAATATTTACATCCAAAAGGATGAAAATAACTAATGCTTTTATTTTTGAAAAGTTCATATGGAGTTTTCTTCAAAATAGGCCTAATCATTAATCGATTTACAACATAACAAGCGGTATTTGTGGCTTCTGCCCAAAAATATTTTGACAAATTGTTTTCACAAAGCATGGTTCTAGACATTTCTTCTAAAGTTCGATTTTTCCTCTCAACAACTTCATTTTGTTCAGGGGTTCTAGGTGCTGAAAAATTATGGCTAATACCATTAGAATTACAAAACTCAGTAAATCCAAGATTTTCAAATTCAGTTCCATGATCACTCCTAACACTAGTTATAGAGTAACATTTTTCATTTTGGATTACTTTTGAAAACGTGATGAATTTTTCTAATGCTTCATCTTTAATACTTAAGAATAGAACCCAAGTATATCTAGAATAGTCATCTACCAAGACAAATGCATATTGTTTTCCACCCAAGCTAGTTGTTCTAGATGACCCAAAAAGATCTAAATGAATCAATTGTAATACTCTACTAGTGGATGCATCATTAATGGATTTAAAAGAAACTCGCTTTTGTTTTCCTTTAGCACAAGCATCACATATTTTATCATTATCAAATTTTAGTTTAACCACTAAATCTCCTTGAATTAACCGTTGCAAAACACTCATACTAGCATGTCATAGTCTCTTATGTCATAACCAACTATCATGCTCATCCTTAGCAACTAGACATAAATTAGTCATATCTATAGAATCTAAATGCACCATGTATATGTTTCCTATTCTATGACCAACAAGCATAATCCGATTAGATGCAATGTCAATGACTTTACAACCATTAGTTTCAAACATGACATTGAATCACTTATCACAAAATTGACTAATACTTAATAAATTATGTTTTAACCCATTCACGAATAAAACATTTTGAATTTGTATGGAAGAGGTATTACCTATAGTGCCTATTCCTTCAATGTGAGCTTTTGAATTATCACCAAAAGTCACTTCTCCTCCATTTTTGGCATTCAGCTCTATGAACCGGTTCTTGTCTCCGGTCATGTGTCTTGAGCATCCATTATCAAGGTACCATGAATTTGAATTTGTTTCTCGTACCTTGTAGCAATGCTCCTTTTCCTACAAACATAGATTAATTTTTGATTTTTGGCACCCAATTTCTTTTGGGTCCATATTCATTAGTTTCCAAAATTCTAGTCCCCTTAGGTATCCATTTGTGTAGGATATCCTTATCTTTAGTAGTAATGAGTTCTTTAGGAAGCCATATACTTCTAACGATTTTTCCATTAGAGGTTCTTCGAGGACATCTATGATTGTAGTTTTTAAATTTTTTTCTAACAAAGTTGGATTTTGAATTTTCTACATTTTCAAAACGTTTTGTTCCAACTTTATTAAAGGAAGTTTTAAGATCATCAATTTTCTTTTGATGATCATCATGTACTCTTGAAAGTAAGTTATACAAATCAATATTTTTCTTTTCAAATTCATCTAATTTGATTTGCAATTCTTTGATCTTACTTTCAAGATCATTGTTGGTTTTGGACATAAGACTATTTTTATTTTTCAATTTTGAAATATCATTTTTATATTTTGAAAATAAAGTCTTATAATCCAAAGCCAACCCATTGTAATCCTCTAATAACTCATCATAAGATAAATCATCTAAATCAAATGAGTTAGAGCTTACCTGAGAGTTTTCCCCGATGGCCATCAAGCACAAGTTTGTAACTTCTTGTTCCTCTTCATCAGAACCTTCTTCATCGCTCAATGTAGCCACATGAGCCTTGTGTTTTTTCTTTGATTGACCATTTTTCTTTAATTGTGGGCAATCATATTTGACATGCCCCAGCTTTTTGCACTCATAGAAAATGATAGGGTCTTTTTCCTTCGGTTCATTTTTGAAGCCTTCATTGTGTTTGAATTTTCTTCCTCGGTTGGGCCTCATCAATTTTCTGAACTGTTTGGCAAATAATGCCATCTCCTCGTCATCGTCATCTTCATCTGAATCGCTCTCATCTTTTTTGGATTTGATAGCAACTCCCATGTTCTTCTTCTTCTCCGTCTCTTTCTTTATCTCGTTCGTCTTTTCGAGGTCTACCTCATCTCGAAGCATCATTTCATGAGTGAGGAGAGAACCAATTAGCTCATCGAGAGTTAAGGATTTTAAATTTTTAGCCTCGATGATCGCCGTCTTCTTTGATTATCAATATTTTAGAAGAGAGTAAACTAACTTTCTCACAAGCTTGTCATTTAGAATGATCTCTCCAAATGATTTGAGACCATTGACAATCGTGGAAAATCTATCCGTCATAGCTTTGATATCTTCATCCAATTTCATCCTGAAACTTTCATAGCTATGAGTTAGAAGACTAATTTTGGATTCTTTTACCTCGTTTATGCCTTTACGAGTGACGTGTAGTTTATCCCATATTTCCTTGGCAGTTGTACAAGATGATACTCTCCCGTATTCATCCAGTCCAAGAGCACAAAAGATAATATGGATAGCTTTGGAGTTGAGCTGGAACATTCTTGTCTCTCATTCACTCCACAATCTTGGATGAGTTGAAGGTTTGAGATATCCGTCTTCTATGATATTCCATGCTCCCATGTCACTTGCTTGAATGAAATACATCATTCTATTCTTCTAATAAGCATAATTATCTCTATTGAAGAAATGAGGCTTGTTGACGGGCAATGAATCAAGATCGAAGTTGTGGTTTAAAGTAGAGGCCATTGATGACTTAATTATCGATGTAACCTTCCCGAATCGACTCAAGAGGCGATTAAACCTTCAAATGGGTGAGGCTCTGATACCAATTGTTGAATTAATCGATCGATGGAATCGACCAAGAGGGGGTGAATTGACAATAGAAATTTCGGTGGAAGCTTTTGCAGAAAATTAAAAATATTTGCACAGCGATTTAGAGTGGTTCAACTTTCTCAACCAAAGTCTACGTCCACTACCTTAGCTATCCACACTAAGGATTTTCCAAAAATTCACTAATTTGTCTTTCTTTTGAGGATAAAGAGTAACCTTACAAATCCCTCAAGAATTATATCCCAAATTCTTGAGAACACTCTCTCCCAAAGAGAACAATACAAATTTTGCAAAATTACAAGAAAATCCTCACAAGGCAAGATGTTTGCACAATTCTAGAACAAAGAAAGAACACTCAGGAATAATACAATTGAGCACGATAAGTGTTCTTGAAAGAAAAAAATGAATATTGAATGAAATAGGCTTGAAAATGCTCAAACTTGAGGTTTGATACTTTCTCTTTGATTCTCTCTTGATTCTTGATAATTGTTTTTGATCAATGGCTCCTAAGCTTGTTTAAATACAACTTGGATCACTTTTGAACGTTGGGGATCATTAGTGGAGTCAATAGAGCCGTTATTGTGTGAAAATAATTAATAAAACAGTTGGGAGCGTGTGTGCATCGATGCATATGCTTTGTGCATTGGTACACTATGTGTAAAATTCAAATCTTTCGACCGTTGGAAGACTTAGTGCATCGGTACACTGGGGTGTGCATCGGTGCACAAATCTGCTTTGATGTTTCAAAATAGCCGGGGTGCATCGATGCATGTCTTGGGCATCGGTGCACTAAATACATTCGAAATTCAATTTAATTAAGAGTGCATCGATTCATCCTTTTGAAAATTGAACTTCTGGCTCATTTTTTGTTCGAAATACTTTGTGAAAATTGTTTCAAAAATATTTTAAGATTAAAACACAATTTTACACTTTAGTAAGGATTAAATTTGGACTTTGAAAAACTTGGGGTAATATTTTGATATTCGGATAATTGTATCGAATATACTTAGAAAATCATTTGTAAAATTTTAAAATTCATTTATCGTAATTTGTTATATCGAAACATCAAAATGTTTTCAACACATTCCCTACACCACTTGACTGTAAATATAGCCCAACAAGTAACACCTTTCCCTATCACTTGAGACATTGACAAGATATAACAACACCTCTACACTGCAACCAAAAACCAGCAACCGAAATCAATCAAGACCACCACTATCTAGGCCCCTCCGTTAACAGAAACACAATTATCAGTGTCCATGGGACCTAATATAACCATCTCTACAACTAGAGCCATTCAATGTGACTGAACTGGGGCTCCCCACTCGCTAGGATTGATAGTGGGGATCTCCTATCCAACAACTCTGCATCAATCAGAGAAGGTACCATCCAACAAACAACCAAATGTTAATCCATTACCACTCTCTGCACATAACCTCTATGATGCTCCAGCCAAAACGATGAGGTCAATGTATCCAATCATGGATACCCACCATCATGATCCTCTTACTGTAACTAACATGTGCCAATCAAAAAGAAAAACCTACATCCTTTTGACAACCAGTCCACCACTCAATGGGATCAAATTAAAAAACCAATTATCCTCACAAAACACCCTAACAAATGGAAATCATCATCCATGTCATACGACCCCAAATACAGAGGAACAACCCATGCTTACCTCTACCTACCATGTACCTAGATTATCACGTACTCGGATTATCGCGTTTGGAAGGTTTATAAAGTCATATCGAAATGCTCATGCTTGTTCACTTACATTTGCACCTGAAGCCTATCCTCGCCACTACCACATCAAAAATTCTTTCTTCATTCCATCTCTTTTGCTTAAAGATAACTTCATTTCTGCATAACCAAATCGTCCAAAAGAACCCAAACATTGTCATAGCTCACACTTGCTTGTACTCAGCAGATAAAGGTTGATCAACCCATGAAACGACGAATGATTTTACATTATTTAAGCACATGAAATTCAGGTTTCACAGCGTGCACCACCTTGTCCAAATCCTCCAAATGAAATTGTAGTGACATAACAGGTGATTAACCGACTATTCCTCCTCTTCACAGAAGATACAAATGCACGAGTCAAGGTTCGATACTCCCCTTCTCGTTAGCTCCACAAGTGTGGGAATCCTTTGAATTGTAGCCTTCCAAACGAAGGCTTGAAGTTTCTCAGGTGCTAAATTAGACCATACCAAGCCCCAAGCATTATCTTTGATAGCCCCATCACTTGCTACAGTGTCACAAAAGTAGTTAGTCGTATAAGCACTACTAACATCACAATACCAACTCAAGCAATCTATCCCCTATACCTTTGGACAACCCTATTTAAAGTATTAGTAAATTCATCCCAGATATTGATTTCCCACTGTAATAATAATCTTTGCAATTCAATGTTCTAGACCCATACACCATTCTCTATGTGGTCGAACTCCGATACTTTACATGTCTAATGATCATTCTAAAAGTTGATATTATTTATATCCCCTACACATAAACACGTGTTCTTCGAGTATGGATCTTCATCCTTTAGCAACTGAGTCGTGATGTTCGTCCAAATCTTTGAAGAATTTCTTCGTTGGGAGGAAAAAAGAATCAGTAGGTTTTGGTCCATCCCATACTTCGCATCAACAACTTTCTTCCATGAAGAATGTGGTTCACACCAGTAATACCACAACCATTTATTTAATAACAAACGATTTTGAACTTGCACATCATAAATACCCAACCCTCCATACGCCCTAGGCTTATACACATTATCCCATTTTACCCAATGTATCACCCTCTTCGACTTGGCCTCCATAGGAAATTTGTAATCATCTTATTCAAGACATTATCAATTATCTCATGCATTTTGAAGAGAGATAGGAAATATACCGACATGTTTACTAGGACCAATCTCACCTAATTCAACATACCACCAAACAATAGGAGCTTTCTTTTCCACCCCTCTAATCTAGCACTAACATTCTCCACAATGGGCTTCCATAATAGCAGCGACTCCCTTTAATGACCTAAGGGCA